TCCTGGTGACGGGCGGCGCCGGCTTTATGTGAGTGAGCCCCGCGGGGCCGGAGCGGACCGGCGGCCTCCTCTCCAGGGCTGTGGGGGAGACGTGGCGGGTGGGGGTCCCGCGGTGCCGCCTCCCTTGTGCCCGTCCCGGGCCGGTTCCTTGGTGCCGCTGGCTCGGGCCACGCTCACTCAGGGGCTGCTGGTGACTCGTCCCTGTCGTGGGTTCTGAGGTGGTAAGTGCTGGGGAGCGAGCTGCGAGGCTGCCCCGGCCGTCCTTCGCCTGCGGCGAGAATGAGAAGGAGGGACCGCCCGGCGCTGGCGGTGGGAATCTGTACTCGGGCTCAGCCGGGACGGGGCTGCCCAGAGGAAGGCAGCGGAGCTGGTGAAGGGCTGGGAGCACAAGCCTCATGAAGAGCGGCTGAGGGAGCTGGGGTTGTTTTGCCTGGGCCTTCAGGCGAAACCTTATCGTTCTCTTTAACTTCCGGAAAGAGGGGTGTAGCCAGGTGGGGTTCAGCCTCGTCTCCCAGGCAGCAAATGGCTGGACGAGAGGACACAGGCTAAGCTGCGCTTGCGGAGGTTCAGGGTGGACATTATAAAGATTTTATGTACATAAAAGATGATTCGACATTGGACTGGGCTGCCCAGGGAGGTCATGAGTCACTGTCCCTGCAGGTGTTCAGAAAACGACTGGACATGGCGCTTAGTGCCATGGTCTAGTTAACGAGGTTGTGTTTAGTCTTAAGTTGGACTCGATGATCTGAGGTCTTTTCCAGCCTAATGGATTCTTTGGGTTGAAGGTGGCAGGGCTTCGAGCCAGCTGCTATTTCTCATATCAACCCCCAGTGCTTGTGGGCTCAGTTTGAGTCAGAGAAAGGACTGGTCCATCTTAAGCTTAAGCACCTCAGGGTGCTTGGAGTCAGAAACTGTGAGAGTGTTAAATTTCTGTGTGTGAATAACCCATGAACTAACCTGTACTTTCAGAATGAGCCTCATGTACACAAGACCGTGCCAAAGAGGCAGTGCCACCTGGTTGTCACTTTCAGCTAGCAGCAGTGTCAGGGATTTGAGTGAAGGGAGTCACTGTCGTGGGTTAGGAGTGTTGACTGTTCATATATTAGGTATCAGAATCTCCCCGACATCTCATATGTAAGCTGTAGAGAGCAAAAGTATTTTAGAATACCAATTGAATATAACATATAACAGGGTTTTTTAATGCAACTGTGGGCAGTGTTTATTTCTTTTGTTGTAGGATGAACTTTTATTCTTTTAGTTTCTTAACCATATGCACTTGTATATAGAAAATAGTAGGATAGCGTATAGACTATATATTAGAATAATGTTGATGTTTCAATTTGTCTTCCATTATCCAAACTATCTGATTATAAATCTGGATAAGGTAATAGCTTCTTTTCTTTCTTGATATGGATAACTGTTTTAAGTGATTTTTAATGCAACCTATAACACGTTGAAATTTATGTGGCTTGTTACTTGTGGTTAGTTACTAATTTTTGCTTGGTTTTCCATTTGTTCCTGTAAAGAAAAAAGTCGACTGGTGTTCAGAAAAAGAATAAAGCTTTTCAAGCTCTAAACATCTGTTTAAGAATTTTTTGTCTAAACATCTGTTTAAGAATTTTTTGCAGTTAGGGTATCTGTTGGAGATCTGTGCTTTTAAAGCTTCACATCTGCTTACGAAGTAGTATTTTTTGAAGTAAGTTTTTACTTTTTTCTCAGACTTCCCAGTAGTTAGGTTTGGTTTGAGTTTTCCTTTTTGCTTCCATGAAGCCCACTTATTGATGTTGTGTTGTGTCTTTAGCTCAACTACTGTGCAAGCTTGAAGAATCTTGAAACTGTTTCTGGGAAGGAAAACTACAAGTTTATACAGGTGATAAAGCCTTCTCTTCCACAAAACATGACATTTTATGGATTTTTGCTGTACTACTTGCTCAGCTTTGTCTTCAGACGGGAGATGGATTTTGATTTATTGCTTAGATTAATATTCTGACTTGCTGGGCTTGTATGCTGAGGTTCCTCCTGTCTGCAAAAGGCAGTGTTGATGCTCATCTCTCTGTCTTGGGGTCTGCCCAGGGTTGTAGGACATCTGACAAATGCACCTCAAACAACACCTTTGTCAGAGGTAGTAGATGTAAACTTGCATTTTTTCTTAGATTCAGGCAAGGCTGCAAGCTGAACTTGCCTTGACCTCTTCATGATCTCCATGGCTGTTTATGTTTTTGTGAACCACCTCTTTATTTCAGTAAGGGATTATTTCTGAGCTAGGGGGATAAAAATTGCATGAGAGGAAGGGGTCAGCCTGTATGCAGACGTGCACGTGTGTGCAGTTTCAGCATGACCAAAGTGGCTTTTTGGTTACCTTCCTAAGGTCTTTGATTGTTTCCAGTGTGTAATATGAAATGTATGAATACAGTATAAAACCCTTGTGACCTGCGTAGATATTAACTTTTATTGGCTGGGGAGAGCTTAGAGTTCTACAAGATAGCCTTTAAACAGTCAGATCCCTATGTGAAGCAGGGGAACAGCAACTAGGAATGATGTGGATATACTGCTTTTGAACAAGGGTAGAAATATCTTGTCACGAAACTTACATAAGTAGAAATAATGCCAATTTTTTGTTGTGGGTTTGGGCTTTTTTTTTGTGGTTTGGGGTGTGTTTTTGGGTTATTTGTTTGTTTCTGGTTTTGGTTTTTAGGGACAGTTGATCACAGCTTAACATCCAGCTGGTATGCAAGCAAGCAGTTATCACTGGCAGGTGAAAATGTGCTGGAAAAGACAGTCTCTGATGTGCAGCCCTTACGATTTAGAACTGTAGCATTGGTACTGACCTTAGGAGACAGCAAGAATGATATACTCTGTAGTGGTACTGTAGAAAGGAAGTCTGTTTTGGGAAGTAGAACAGTAAGTTTAGAAAATTTGACTCAGGGGCTGTATGAAAGATATGTTTTAATCACAATTTCTGTTGTTCAGCATAGATGCACTAAACTTCCAGTTTAAATTTTGAATTTCAGTTAAGAAAAAATTCAGTAACTAGCCATTTAGTTCAAAATAATGTCTCTTTTTAAAAAAATATGTAAATTAAAAAATAAGTCACTGGAATAAATAGCAAGCAACAAAACCCTTGCAAGACATAAACTAATCCCCTTTAGTGGGAATCCGCTTCTCCTTTTGCAGTACCACTAGATGTCCCTGCCTGCTTGCCAGACTGGGAACTCTTCTTTGCTCTGGGAACGTTGCATTTCAGCCTCAGTATTGGAGCTCCGCGCTGTACTTTTATTGTGTGCATTTTTGGACACATTATTGTTTGTAATATTAATAGTAACATTAATTCTGAAGTAAGTTTCATTGAGGTTTTATAAAAAATGGGTGAATTTTTATGTATGGTCTTATTTTAGACATGGCATTGATCAATTGCCCAGAACTCAGTTGATCATGCTGTTTGTATCCTCTGTTCCCTTCGTACCTTTGTAATGGTTTCTTACGTGACACTTGGTATAAAGGGAAGCTGACTATTTTCTATCAAAAATAATTTGCTTTTTTTTAATTTTTTCTTCTTTAGGGAGATATTTGTGAACCTGATTTTATAAAGCAACTCTTTGAAACTGAGAAAATAGATATAGTTCTTCATTTTGCAGCCCAAACACATGTAGGTGAGCATTGTTGCATGTTTTGGTATTGTTTTCTGTGGTTATACCTGCTTGAAATATATGCCAGTATGCTTTTTGTTTTTTCCTTCCATAAAAACCAAGGATCCAATTTGTCTCTACAAATCACATGGCTGAGTGTCTGGTGGCCTTTTTAATTCTGAGGGATTCACAACCTTGATTTAAAAGGCACTTCATCTAATTTGTTTTGTTTTCATTGCACATAAATGGTAGTGTTCCTTTTTGTCTGCATTACATTTTTAAATTCTGTCTAGACTCACATGTAGCTGATAGTGTACTGAGGGAGTCATAAAGATAGTGGAGAGGGGCTTTGTACATAGTCTGAAGTTTTTACTTAATTGGCTTCAATGTCACATGAAAAAACTGTGAAAGCTGAAGGATTAGGCTTAAGTCCCATTGGAATCTTATCTCCATGCTAAGAAGAGAGAATGAATTATAAAGTGCCTATTTCAGATGGCTGCTTTTCAGTATCACTGTTAGTAAGAACAATCCCCACCATACTCCATCCATCATGAGAAGAAATCCTCAAAGAATACTCCAGGAAAATACTTTTCAAAATTGTCAGGTTTGATAGGTACAAAGTCATTAGGTCAGGGGAACAGTTGTAAGAATCAAAGCAGGTGCTAATGAGTTATTAGTCATGCATATTACTGCAACTGTCTTTGAATGACACTTTTCTTACTGTACTTAGCCAGTGTTGTTTTAGATTATAAAGTCCATAACCAACAAGATTTTTCTCAAGATTCCAGCCTCTTGTTGAGAACAAGGATTTTGAAGATGCCTACATTTAATAAGGACCTTGCTATCTGACAGGTCTATATTGCAGCCTCCAGGTGGAACCTATAGCCCTGTCTTACCTAAATTTAATCAGAATTGTCTGATTTTTTTTTTTTTTTATGTAGATCTTTCATTTTGGCATGCGCTGGAATTCACCTATGTGAATGTTTATGGCACCAATGTGCTGGTTGCTGCTGCACATGAAGCCAATGTGGAGAAGTTTGTCTATGTTAGTACAGATGAAGTATATGGAGGTAGCACTGATGAGGTGAGTTTGAAAATGCATGAGGATTTTTCTAGTTTACTTGCTTTTTGTAATGAAAACAAAGTTGAGTCTAACTTTCCTTGGCCTCTGTAAATGTTTGACTTTAAGTAAGCACTGGTTGCTTTTAGAAAGCTGAGTATCAAAATTGTCTTGATTTTTTTTTTTTTTTCATAGCTTGTTTTATGTGGAATGTTTATTGTCTAAAGCAGTGAGATTTGGGTCATTAATGGTGTCATTACTCCTCAGAGATAGTGTGAAAGCAATGTATTATACAGGTTTTGTCCTGGAGCATTCATGAGACTTCAGTAATATGCACAGCTTGACAGGCAGGGAACTGCTTTATATTCTAGGTAAAATACTAACAGAACTGTAGGTAGTGACAATTCAAACAGGAAACAATTCCTGTATTACTGTAATAAATATTCAGATGTTTCTTGTTGTTGTATGCAGATCTTTAATTTTTGAGAATTTATACCTGACCTTAATTCAGGAAATGTAATTTAGCTCAGTAAAAAGGCAAATTACGCATGTTCATCTTTTAAAAGGCATAAATACAGTCAAGGGGCCTTTTGTCATAGTCCCTGGAAATATTGATGTCCTTCAGGAGAGTCTTTCTGTCCTTCACAGAACTTCAGGAGAGTTCTGTGCACTTCTATTATCACACTGTCTTTATCAGTTCCTTCAACACTATTTGCATCTGTAGGCTTTTATGATACCCAAGGATGATGTTTTCTTGTGTGTAGACCTGTGGCTTGGGTGATACCTTCAAGTGAATTTTTTTCTGTCTTTGGGCCTTGAAAAGAGAACTGTTTTTAATTTTCTTTGTGAATCACACTAGAAGTTCTTACAGAGTTTTTTTTAGGCGAGGAAGGCCATTTCAGAAGCAAAGGTTGGACAAGAACAGCAAATGTTTTAACCATGTTAACGTGATTGTTACCAATCACACCTAGAAGTATCCCTCTTCCTTCTGGTTTGTTTTTTTCTTCCTTCAAGGGAGAAGTAGATTCAAATATCAGGATAGTCTGGAAGATACCTGCTCTGGAACTGATCAGAATTGTTGAAGCCTTGCTTTGGAAGCTTTTGGGTTGCAATTCTACATTTTTTACAGAAATAAAGTTACAGAAAAATTTAAGAAAAGACCTGTTTTATTTAAGACTGAAAGCTGAATTTTCTAGTGGTGGCCCAATTGCTCTCTGAGGCAATATGAACCTGAAAAATACTAAACCTCCCTGCAGTAACAGTAATTATTTAATAAGATAAAAATCTAAGGACTTGCTGCTGTGAGGTAACTCTGTGACAAGTATAAAAATATTACTGCTAGTAATCTGGCTGCCTCCTATAGTCAACAAATAGGCTGTCTTTTTTTATGGCCTTCTGTTGTAAGGGGACTTTGTGAGACCGATGAGCTTGGATATTTAGGGATCTTTATTTCTTTTGTAACTTTAAGGCTTGTCTTTAAGGCAAAAGAAATTGAGTAATGCAAAATTTTCTTTTCATTTTAGGAATTTGACGAATCCTCACCAAAACGTCCGACAAATCCCTATGCCTCCTCTAAAGCAGCTGCAGAGTGTTTTGTTCAGTCTTACTGGGAAAGGTACCAAGTAAGTCCATGGAAGCCTCAAAAACTCTGAAGCTTGTAATTAAGCATCTGTATTATGTGCATAAGAGAATAAAAGAAAATTAAATACTAGTCCATACAGTGCCACCTCTTTCCTTATTGTTAGTCTTGTAGTTTGGATGTGTTAGAGAATCTCCACCAATAAATTATGAAGATATACTGCAAGATAGTGGGGACAGGTTAGACGATTTTAATTTTTGTTTTTTAAATTTGAATTGTAATATCTAAAAATGTGCTTTGATAAAATGATCGAAGAGAACATTAGGAATTTAAAAACCAATGCTAAACTTGCAGGAAATAAAAAAGTATTACACAGAAGTAAAACATGCATAATTCAAGTTGTATTGAGACTAGGCTTATAGTTAAAGAAAAAAAAAAAAAAAAGAAAAAGCCCTGCTAGTCAGATTTGTTTAAGCAAACATACGTATTTAATAATTTGGACACTTTAGACTTCTGTTTTTGATATATGATTTTTTTTTTCTATAAAGTGAGCAAGAGTAGGATGTTAATGACCTGTGAAACACATTGGACTAAGTAGGAGCAAACCTGTCTTCAGTCAACCAGATACACATATGCAATGTCCTGTGGTGGTTCCAGAGCAAGAGAGATTTCAAATACTTGTCACTTGTCACTCCTAACAGGCTGAGAATGCTTGAGGCCTTTGCCTGCGTGACAGAAGTACAGAGAGCTCAATTCAGTAATGTTTGTAAGGGGTTTGTTAGAGCTTGCAAATTTTTGAGTAAGCATTGTGCATGTGTTGGTTTGTTTACTGATCAGCAGGAAGCTACAGGTTTTTACTGATATTTGCGTTCTTATGTAATCACATGTGTGTTTAATGCTCTCCAGTTTCCAGTTGTCATCACACGGAGCAGTAATGTTTATGGACCACATCAGTATCCAGAAAAAGTAAGTTAAACTGTACTTTACTCTGAGCTTCAGTGTACCAGAATTCAGGGTAGCAGTGATGTTACTTTTTTCTCTTGTGCATGGGATGACTTTTGAAAAAAGCACTCTTGCAATTAGTATGTGATTATATATTTTGAGCTTACACTAACATGTCTTACCCTGAACACATATTTTTTGATTGTTGATAAAACTTCAATCAGAGACTTGTATTTTAAATGAATTTTATGACAGCAACTTTGTTTTGTAGTTTTTCTATTTTTCAAATGATATTTTGACCGAGTTCCCCCACAAATTATATTAACTCACGTCATGTTCTGTAATTGTGAGTGTTTAATAACTCAGGGAAACATTTCAAAAGGTCAGCTGAGAATACAGTGGCTGGTATTGAAAGGGATGTTCCAGCCTGTACAGAATATAAGTAAGACGGAGCTATAGCATTCATATATAAGTTGAGAGGTAGTGTAAAATGACTTGTCTTTGCATGTGTTCATACAGATCTTGCAGGGTAACTGTTTAAAACAGTTGTTTGTGTGAAGGAGTTGCCTTTTTAAGTCAGTACCAGAATCTGCTTTGTTAGTGAATGGAAATACACTGATGAAATGAAAGTGATAATCACATCTACTCTTTGGAGTTTGGAACTGGTGGGCAATGTAGCTATATTTTACAGTTTTATGGAGTTTTTTTTTTAAATTGAAATTGCTTTTCACCTTTTTTGGTTTTTTTTCCTCAAAATAAATTTATTTTCACCTACATTATTGCAGGTGGATGAGCAATGGCTTTTAGAGTACATTTCTCATTGATCTTTGTATTGCCACAGGTTGTATGATTGTTGGAAGTATATTTCAGGGATGTATTTGCTTGCTTTTAACTTACATATATTCTTCTTCACATACCATATTTTAGTTACTGCTAAAAACTCAGCACTAGGCTACATGAATCTTTAATTTTATATAGTATTATGCTCATGTGTTTAGAGTAGGAAGTTAAATTTAAGTAATTTGAGTAGTCTTCTAATGGCTTCAGTTTAAGGACTTCAATAGTGGGGGCAACTGTTCTGAAGTGTCTGGGGCATGAATGGATCTAAGCTTTTAGATGAACATGATGTAAATCTTTGGGCAGCTAGCACACTGTCACTTTATCTGTGTTTATCTGTGTTATCTTAAAATTCTCTGTTGATTCTCTTCCAAATTTAACTGTTTTAACAACTCTTTGGTTCTAGATTTACTCATGTTTACTAGATGTTTAAACCTTGTTCTGAACTGTTGGCAATAATTATTTCTATTTGGACTCTGATGCAATGCTGCGTGCAAAAGTGATGGAAACTTCACTTAAGTTACACTTGTACTATGTTGTAAAATGTTACACTTGTAACAGCCAGAAAGATAAGGTTTTCAATACAACAATAGAGGCATCTGCTCTTAGAAACCAAAATCTGTGCAGTTTCTAGGCTTGATACATTCTTTCATTAGATTTAATAAAACTTAGAAATATTTAAAGGATCTTATTAAAATACTTAATGCTACATAACTGTTGAAGTTCATCATTCTCTGTAGAGTAACAGCTTCTAAAATTGTGGAGTAATTTTTTTTCTGTTGTTTTTCAATTCCTTAGGTTATTCCAAAGTTTATATCTTTGTTGCAACAGAACAGAAAATGGTAGGTAACTCGCATTTCTTTGATAGTATTTGTCGTATAAAACTGTAGTTGCATTTATAAATATTTGCTCATTTGTGAAATGATAATTATATAATTAAGTTCTGAATCACCTACTTTAATAACAGGATTTCCTTAAAGGATTGTTTGCATGTCAGCTATTTAAGGTACCTTCAGGCAACCATCTAACAGCAAAACTGCTTAAAACACAGTCCAGTAAATTGAATGTGTCTATTTGAGGGTTAACAACATTTTTTTGTCTTTTTCTTGTATTAAGCTGTATTCATGGTTCTGGACTTCAGAGAAGGAATTTCCTTTATGCAGCTGATGTGGTAGAAGCATTCCTTACTGTCCTGAAGGAGGGGAAACCAGGTGAAATTTATAACATTGGAACTAACTTTGAGATGTCCATTGCCCAGCTTGCTAAGGAGCTAATCCATTTAGTGAGTAAACAGTTGTAATGCTTTTCTTTAACGGTTTTCATTGCACATATGAATAATTCCACAGACCTTCTGTAGCTCTGAAAGTGCTTAGACTTGTGTTGGGTGTTGGAAGATTCTTGCAGCAGAATGATGTGCTGCCCTTTCTGCAGCAGCTGGACTGTGTAAGTTTGCAGTATGGGCTGTGTTGGGCTGCTACATCAGTTACCCTGACTGGGATATATCCTGACTATGACTGGCATCATGATTAATTACCATTCTTTTTCATGCTAACTGCTTTAGTTTTAGTCTGAGAATATGGCACTATTAAAATCTAACAGGTTGATTATGGATGTTCTGGCAGTGTTCTGGGTGAAGGAGACAGATTGGAGTTGTTCTAGATAATTTTGATAATTTCAGTAGTTTGAAGACTCAGTATACAAAAGACCATTTCTGTTTGTCGTTTTTATTTCTGTTTTCATTTCTGTTTGTCGGTGGCATTTTTTTCTTAACAAACTTTTATCTTCTTTAAAACCCCCTATTTTTTAAATATATGTTTAGACAGCCCAAGATGTATGGGAATGATTTTTTTTTTCTTGGCAGATAAAGAAGACGAGTTCAGAGTCTGAAATGGAGCACTGGATGGATTATGTTAAAGACAGGTGAGGAATGTGGAGGACATGCAGGATGTGCTGCACATGCAAGATAGTTTTGTCCTGAAGGTTTTCTGAGACTCTTAATCAAATAGTTTTTCGTGGAAGTGTTTCTGCTCTAAAGGAACACTTTTGAGGGAGTAAGAGCTGTTTTGCTTCCTTATTTTTTTTTGCCAGTGGACTTGACATCTGTGATCAAGGTTCTGTATAGAAAACAGGATTTTCCTCTATTATTTGGATCTGTAGGTCAGAATTAATGTCTTGAAGGAGAACATGAAATGCTAATCTCTGTCTTCAAACTTTCTTCATACTGCTCATTACTGAAGTCTTCTCTGGGATGAGGACAAGTTTTACAGAGCAACTAAATCTTTCCTTCATGGTTGTTTGGACAGTGTATTCAGCATTGCTGAATGAGATGAGTCCCATCTTCTCTCACTTAGCTTTAGTATTTTGGTCTTAATGTGACTAATTCAGACTTAGATGTACTTTGTAGGAAGACCCAGTATCCACAGGCAGAAATATGTACCTATGGAGTGTAGTTAGCTTTAGATTTCTATCTTAAACTGAAGCTGCTATCTCAAAAGTAGATGTAAAGCTCTAAGGTACCAACGGTAGGGCAGTGGTGAAAATGGGTAGCTTTTATAGATATGCTTTTCCTGTGTGTTTCTGTCCTTAGTTTCAGGCTTGGTTTGGCTCTGTTCTTTTATATCCATTTCTTTTCTACAGCAACAATGAGTCTCTGCTTATTTTAGATATCACTCTCTCCAGAGTGATTAAAAATGATGTGTCTGCTGATAGCAGTTAAATATTATGGCCTTCAGAATTCTCACTTTCTGTTCACATTTGGATTGTTATCATGGCAACTGAAGTGTCTTTAAAAATGTACTAACTTTTGTTTTTAAAAGGAAATGGTCTTCAGAATCCTATCTGAGTGTATCACAGGACTTTCAACAAATTGCCTTTGGCTCACATGATGTGAATGTTTAGGAGTTCTCAGTGTAGTTCTGTTTGAGATATTTCTTCATGTGTATTGGGCCATGTCTGCTCATGTTTAAACATAAATGGGCTTGGGAAGACTAACCACATAGGAATACGTGTTTCAGGGAGTGTTGAGGTCTTACTGTTAATATATCTAATTTATGACTATTTAATTCTATAATGAGTGACTTAAAGGTCATGGGGTTTACTTGCTACAGAAAAATTAGTTCTGCTTCTGCTCAAGATTAGCATGTTATAGTAACAGTGATAAGTACTTGGTTTGTACCTGCACATGTACCTTGACTATTCAATATGCCAGTGCCAGTAGTGCAGGAATGCTAGACTAGGCTGCCTATGTGCCAGACTGTGGAAGTGAAAATTTCTGCCATGCTTAAATATAAAATGTATCTTCCTGTGTTGAATCTTGCAGCTTGGGATTCTACATATTCAGTATTACTAAATTCATGTAGCTAATGAGGCACTGTAATGATGCTGCTTTGGTAGCCTCTGTGTTTTAAATCTGAAGTATGTCTAAATTTGTGGGTTTTCAGGATGAAAAATGTAAATGCTAATATTAGAAAATATTAATTTTGTCTCTGCGTTGCAAATGCAGATTTGCACAAATACGTTGGCAGTGGTTTGAGTTTTGTGTTCATTTTTGTGCCAGTAAAATACTAATTAATATTTATTCTAGTTAATTTCAAGTAGTTGACTGTGCAAACTGAATTGTGTTGTTGTAGCTGCACTCAGCTGCCACGTATTTTTTGAAGGTACTGTAACCTGTTCGTGTTGATGGGAATTTTCAAAATTGAAGCATATCTAATGTTCCTTCAAAGACAGTGTGAGGTATTGCATCTCTAATTAATGAAGTAGTGTAATCAGATTGTTTTCCTTGTGTGTTTTTCGTCAGGCCTACAAATGATCTCCGGTATCCAATGAGTTCAGAAAAAATGCACAACTTAGGATGGAGACCTAAAGTGCCTTGGAAAGAAGGAATAATGAAAACAAGTAAGTCTGATGACTTACACTGATTTAGGGGTGATGGGAGGAGGGAGAGGGGGGAAATGGGTATATATGAAGAGATTGAATGTAACACTTGAATTTTACATAATATTGGCTGCTTTCTAAATAATGAATTTACATTGTACAAAATAATATAATTTTTTAGTGCTATAATGAGACTTGCACAAAGAACTTAAGAACTTGTTTAAACTAGATTTTTGTAATATTATAGGTTAAAATCTTCCATAAAGAATAAGCAGCACACTGTTAGTCTTATACTTGTGGAATATTTGGATTTCCCTGTTACCTCTGGTCAGCCTGACTCATCAACATTCTTTCCATATTAGTTGAATGGTACAGAGAAAATTTCCACAACTGGAAAAACTCGGAGAAAGCTTTGGAGCCCTTTCCTGTAACAGACCCGTTCGCCCAGCTCAGTGGTCCATAGTGTGGAGCAGAACCTGAAGGAGTTTTTTCTACCTCATATGGTCTTTTCTTCAAAGCCTGCAATCAAGTGGCCACATTAGACTTTTAATGTGTTCAAGATACATGAACCATGATGAGTAAAGAAACACAGTATGGCACAACTTTGGAATGGTTTCAGCACTTTATAAGTTGATCCTCTTAGTTTCAGCTTTCAGTGCAATACTCTCTTCTCACTAGGTATTGATTTAAAAAAAAACTGTACGGATTGAAGAATATTTATAATGTTATAAATTAGTGTACTGAAGTAAAATCTGCCTTATTAAGAATAATTAACTGTGATTGCAGCTTTTGGGACTTGGAGTTAAATTTGTTTTTGTTTTGGAATTACTCATCTGTATTAGTTTGTTTTTACAGTGTAATATATATAATTTTTTGTCACTTCAAAGAGTTGGGTTTTATTTTTAATCAAGGGGAGAAATTTCATATTTTTTTGAGTCTATAAATTGATTTACAAAAGTTGGATACAACACCTGTATTTTTCTGTCCATTTCTCTGTTGGTTCACTATTAGCTTTTGTAGATGACTGATGAAACTTACCTACCCTGTAACTTTAAAAGCACAGTTAACATTCCAATGATGTTATTTCCTGTGATATGAAGGCTACTTATGGAGAAAAATTTTTAAAACTCTTATTTTTCTGTGAATTGTGGGTTGGCAGACCTTAATGCAGTGTTTCATCATTTTTTCTGTAAAAAATATTTTGAGGATAAAACAATATTTGAGTTTTAATACAAAATTTGGAAAAAGCTCTTTAATTCTAGAAATATGTCAATGACTTTCGTTCAAAGTTCATTTAGTAATAAATATTACGGTATAACTGGTTTCTCTTAATTAGGAAAAACATGCTGAAAAAGGAGATGGTGGGTTTTTCTTAAGAAATATTTCTTACCTCTTCCACTAACCTGAAAAAAATACCTTCACTTTTTTGTCTTTGAGGTGATATGGCAAACATAAAAAGGGACCACTCTTCTTGGTTTTATCATTTCATCTTCTGTAGTTGTCACAGCCTCTGCTCCTCTGTGGCCCCTCGGCAGAGCTGTGGGAGTCACAGGACTGGGATGCTGTGGTGTACTCAGAAAAAGCTGTGACTTCCAAAGTCTCAGTAACTGGGAGCTAGCTCTTGAAACACAAGTGTTCCCAACTCTCCCACCTCTTGTGGTGCATGGTGCTGTTGATGAAATGCCACTTTTGGTTGGCAAGAGTCACTCTAAAAGAAGGCTAACCAGGAAGTTTCTGTGCTTACTGCGGTGCAAGTCTTTTAAAGTCTTGGAGCCTGTTATTGAAGGTTAGTTTTCTGTGACAAAGTGGGATAATAATACTATACTTGAATTGTGTGGCAGTTATATTTTTTAGGCTTCTGATACTTGGTGTGGAAGTAAAAGCCTCCATTTGGGACAGATAGAAGCTACAGGACTGCCTATGTAATGATCTGTCACATACTTGGTTTATCTATGGATTTATCATCTATGGATGAATTACTTAAATGTCATTGTCAAAAACATGTTGCTGATTACATTCAGATATTTCCTTAATTTTTATAGTTGAAATATAACTTCCTTACAATGTGCATCCTTCCTTAGAATATCCAGCTTACTGTCCTGGATTTTGCAAAAGTCAGTACCAGAAATAGCTAAAGTGCTGGAAAGATCTGTCTTAGCTGTATTTGTGATTGCTGTGACAGCTGCTTTGAGTGGGTTGCATGAAAATGAGTCTTTCACATCTTCTTATACTGGGAAACTGGCTGTGTTGTGTTTTTAAGAGTAGAGATTACAGATAACTAAAATTTTACTACTTTAAACATGCATAAACCTTTAATTTAGAAATATTTTAAACCTTTGAAAATAGGTACAAGTGTCTTTGGAACACTAAAAATAGTGTTATCAGAAGTACACAGAAGAAAGTAATAGGGGTGATTGGTTTATTAAACTTTTGAAAGTTGTTCTTAATGTATAGATGCTGAAGGATGCAAGCTTTGATATTTACATGACTATCCAAAGAAGTGATATTATTGGGAGTGGATTTTCAATAGGATCTATTGATTTTTAGTGGAAGCTGTTCTAGTTTATTTAAATATTTCTGGAGATTTAATTCATCCAAGTGTTTGAGTTTTTTGTCTTTGTGTCACTACTTGTATATATATGTATAAATAAATTTATATATGCACATTTTAAAATACTGAAATATATATACTTTAAAAATGTAGGAGGTTCTTGCTTTGAGCTACTTTGCTGTAGATCAGATTTTTTTAGCAGATGAGTGATCTGGTAGGAGCATTTCTTTCACAGAGAAGTATTTCCTGTTAAAACAACTTATTTTGCCATTAGCTTTCTGGTTTCTGTAGGAAGAAAAGGACAAAGGATCAAGTAGTGAACTGTCAATGTGGAGAAGTGATGTTTTCAGGTTTTATTTCTCACTGATTTTTATTTTCTCACTGATTTTTCCTGTTAAAACAACTTATTTTGCCATTAGCTTTCTGGTTTCTGTAGGAAGAAAAGGACAAAGGATCAAGTAGTGAACTGTCAATGTGGAGAAGTGATGTTTTCAGGTTTTGTTTCTCACTGATTTTATGGGGAAGCATTTCTGCAGAAGGCAGAGGTAGTGATGTAAAATACTGTGAATAATCTTTCAGTCCATTCTCTCAAGGTTTGTGTCACAGGCCAAAGTGAGGCCACATCAACGTGTATTTCACTTCTAAAACTTTCCAAGGGAGAAGGGCTGGACTTTGGCAAAGGTTTTCATTCAGGTTCTATCAGGAACTTGGGAGTTATGTGGGGATTGCTGTTGGTTTGCATCTCTTTTTGGGATTACTGTTCTGAATTGGGTCAGGTTTTTGAGAAGCAGCTCCTCAAATCCCTTGTGCATTGGGGAAAACCAGCATGGCTACCTCACTTGGTCTTGGTGTACCACAGCTGCTATTAAGTGCATCCCTTGCCTGCAGCAAGTGAAAGGGTTTGGAAAAATTAAACATTAAAGAGGGCAGCCGAGGCAGGGCTGTCTGCTGTCAGAGTGGTTTGGCTGGGAAAGGATCTTAAAGATCACCTAGTTGAAGCCCCCTGCCACGTGCAGGGACACAGAGCTCCATCCAACCTGGCCTTGAGCACTGCCAGGCTTGGGGCAGCCACGGCTTACCCTGCCTGTGGGGCATTTGTGGTGTGTGTGTATCGACTCCAGTTTGTGCAACACACAAGAACCCCTACTTTCTCCCAGGCTTTCTCTGATCTGACCTCAGCACTTGTGTGCTGCTTGCATTAAGGGGTGTCAGCTGTGGTTGAGGCTGGTTTACACTGACATAAGATGATGGACTAGAAAATACCTTTTGCTTGCCCACCCTATACTTTCTTTGATGTAGGAGAAAGACTAGGGGTGAAAAATGAGAGGGGTTTTTTTTGTTGGTTTTTGGGGTTTTTTTTGACTCAGAATGCTTTATTTTGCAGAAACTGTGTTCTTTAGACAGACACAAAATGCAAATATTTTTCTTGAGAAGGAGGAGCTTAATACATACCACCTTGCCAAATTCTGTTAAGGGAAAAGCTGACACTTTTATTAAATACGCTGTGTCTGAGACTGAATTGTCCTCTTTTATTTAATTTTGTTTTGCATTACCTTTAGTTTTTGTTTTTATTCCCACTGCCATTTCCATTTCACCTGGCAAAACAAAAGATTTCTAAAAATAAGAATTGGAATAACCCATTGCTCCATAGTACCTCTGATTGTTGTGGTAATGTATGAAAACTCTTAAGTCAATAGTGTTTTGACTTCTGTGCATGCCATGACACATTGGGAATTTATCTGCACCAAAGATCACAGATTGTGTTAGCTGCATCAGTAGGAGACAGGCTTGTTAAGGGATTACATTCATCATTTCTCAGCAAAACAATCATTGCCAGTGGCAATGGAAAATCATGAGAAGATGAGATTTTGTATCAGTATGTTGTTCTCACACCTCTTAAGCACATTTGTGGGTTGGTTTTTTTAACCTCTCCCTAACTGAATTTTTATTTTTTTGTGAAGAGCTCTTGTTTTCAATCACTAAACTGCTGGCTCAGTCCTCAGCCTTTGTGCTTCTGAAAACAGGTATTTGACTCCCGAAAACATGTCGGCTCCTGAAGAACCCACAAATGTGGGACAATGTGAGGACAAATACACTCTGAAAATAAAAGGACACAGGGTGATATATGTTACCAAATATTCACATGGCTGGCTTGGGCCAAGGCTGCTTCTTCCTCACTCAAAAAAGGAGGGATTTGTTAAATTCCTGCAGTACTATGGAAGAGAGTCTTGGGTTTTTTTATTGACAGGAGGGAGCAATGGTGGACAGTTTTACAAAGAAGCCTCTCTCCCCTCACGGTGTGTAGAAGATATGCCCTCACATGTGGCTTTTCCTAGACCCATGGGCTGTGCAAATCAACACAAACTTGAGATGTCAGTGCCCACCCCAGGCACTAATGTGGGCACTCTGATGCATCCTCTACCTTTTCCCTGTAGCCACACGAGTGTGTGACCAGCTGCCTGTTGAAAGCAATGCCTAATTAACAATATGAATGTAAACTATTTTTCTTAGTACACTGCTTAGTTAGGATTTGTGATTTATGTGGACACAGGGAGCTTCTCCAGTGGAAGACCACGGGCAGAAGAAGGTGCAGGTGCCCTTTTTGCTCATGCCTTTCCGTGACACCATGATGTCTGCACACAGTTTGTCAGGCTTTAAAATAAAATCCCTGAAAACTGAAGCTAAAATACTGCCAATTTAATGCTCTTGAGTCCCACATAATCTCGTTCCTGTTACCTTCCCCGGGAGCCACTGCCAAAACACCATCCTGATGTGTGTGTTGTGCATAGATGTTTGTATATGCATACTTTTGTGTTACTGGTGATTTGTCTTTGGCTTACAGCATAATTTTGTTTGCGAAGACCCGTCATTGACTCGTTTGTGGCATCTAGCGCTGCAGGGCTAATAACACTTATTTTATTTAGATCACCGTATACAAGCAGCCGGGTGGCGGCTATGGAAGAACGCATTAGTGCCATTTCACCGCACCTTGGGCAGCACGGCAGCCGAAATAGCTCAGTTGGGAGAGCGTTAGACTGAAGATCTAAAGGTCCCTGGTTCGATCCCGGGTTTCGGCAGAACCGTTTTCCGCTTTTTCCTCGCCCTGCCCGGGAGGTGGCGAGCGGACGCTGCCGAGGGCTCTGGGCGGGCTGCAGGAGCCGGCCCGGCTGGCCCGGGGCTTGTGCAGCACCCGGCAATTGCCTTGCCGGCCGCGTCCCTCCTGGCACAGCGTGCCCTGCCTTCTCGTGTCCCTTCTCAACCTTTTCCTCTAAGGTTAAGATTTTTATTCAGGATGGAAGAAATGAAAGCAGCGAGCTTCGTTCCCGGGGCGTCCTCTGCCCTTCGCTATCCCAGGGCGGCAGGGACAGAGAAGGGAAAGTGAAACTGTGTGAGGAGGCGGATGGCTGGGAGGGAAGGGACAGAGAGGGAAGGAGTGGCTCTAGGGGACTGGGACGGAACGATTAGAGGTTGCTTCTTGCCAAAATCTGAAGCGCAGTTCGAAAT